CCCCAGCTCCCTAACTCCTACCCCAGCTCCCTAACTGCTACCCCAGCACCCTAACTCCTACCCCAGCTCCCTAACTGCTACCCCAGCACCCTAACTCCTGCCCCAGCTCCCTAACTCCTGCCCCAGCTCCCTAACTCCTGCCCCAGCTCCCTAACTCCTACCCCAGCTCCCTAACTGCTGCCCCAGCTCCCTAACTCCTACCCCAGCACCCTAACTGCTGCCCCAGCACCCGATCTTTTTCGCAGGGGACCTCTTCCACGTGGCATCTGTTTCCCAAACAGACATGGTGCACAGAGGCCTCCTGTCAGGGGCCCTTCTGGAACTTTCCATATTGACAGACACGGCACTATCCCATTAGGGCAAAAGAAGGCATTAAAGATGTCAGTGCCTTGGTGCACAGTCAGCACTGAAGGCCGAGCCGTCATTGACTGAGTCCACCCAGGCACCTGAGCACTGTCCACCTTCACCACCATCACCACCGTCAGCACCATCATCATCACCGTCACCATCCGTCCCCCTCCCCGTCCACTCTCCCTCCCTCCCCCTCCGCACTGATGCAGGAAGTGCTGTCCCGGAGGCTCAGTCCCTCCCACCCACCGCTCTGCCGCAGTCCGAGACCCTCTGGCGTGAACGTGGCCGTGGCGGCGCCGCACGCAGCCGTGACGCACGCGAGGAAGAAGCAACGTGGTGGTGGCGGGGAAACCGCCTCGGCGTCCCTGGTCCGCACGACCACCGTCTTCTGTCCTCCCGGGGGACTCTGTCCCAGCACCACACGGGGCCTTCGGGCAGAACGGGGAATTGTGCGCAGCGAGCCGGGTACTCACCGAGCGCGCAGGGAGAAGCCGGTCCACCAAACACGACCATCCGGCGCAAACAGGAACGGGCCAGTGGCGCGGGGTGTGTTTGCAGCCGAGACTGAGGACAAGGTGCTGAGCTCAGTCCCACCGCTGGGCGCCCCAAGGTCCTGGGGTGACCGCGGCGCATGCTGGGCGATTCGCACACGTGGGTTTTCTCAGCACAGCGATGGTCGGGATGTTTTCCAGGTCCGCGCTCTGGACTCTGGGGAGGCGCGTGGGGGGGGGTCAGAGTGCTTGGGTGCTGGTGCTCGGTCCTTAGCGCTGCGGCTCTGGTTAGCGGCGAGTGTGTAGCTGATGTGGGAGCACATGGGGGAGGGGCGAGTCCTGTTCTCACCCGGGTCCTCCACCCCCCCGAGCCCCGCCCCATCTGCTGCGCTACGTGCGCACGGCCCCGCCCCGGGCTCTCAGCCGCTCCCACTTCCCGACACCGAGCTCCTAAAGCGCCAGCACCGCCCTGACCCCACCCAACCCGCGGGTGTGGACCGGGCTCGCTCGGCCACAAAGGGCAGCATGGCGCGCGGGGCGGCTCTGGGGCTGCTGGTCCTCGGGCTGCTGGGAGCCTTTGCACACGGACAGGGTGAGCGGGGGTCCGGGGTCCCGGAGGACTCGGGGGGCTGGGGAAGCCGCTGTGCAGAGTCCGGGGAATCCGGCGCCGCCCGCCCCGGCCCGACCGCGGGGTGCCGGGTGCTGGGTTGGCGGGGTGCCGGGTACTGCGTTGCCGGGGTGCCGGGTGCTGGGTTGGCGGGGTGCCGCGTGCTGGGTTGCCGGGGTGCTGGGTTGGCGGGGTGCGGGGTGCCGGGTGCTGGGTTGGCGGGGTGCCGGGTGCTGCGTTGCCGGGGTGCTGGGTGCTAGGTGCTGGGTTGGCGGGGTGCTCCCCGCTCTGTCCGCGCAGCCTGGCGGGGCGCAGCCGTTTCCTGCGCCGGGACCTAAATTTGGATCCGGGCGGGGGGAGGGGAGGGGAGGGGAGCGGGG